AAAAAAAAAAAAAAAATGAAAGGGAGGACCTGGGTGTGATGGCTCATGCCTATAATCTTAGAACTTTGGAAGCCAGGATGAGAGGCTTACTTGAGCCTAGGAATTTGAGACCAGCCTCGACAACATAGTGAGGCCCTATCTCTAAAAATAAAAAATCAAAAATTAACCAGTCATGGTGGTGTGTACCTATAATCCTAGCTACTTGGGAGGCTGAGGCAGGAGGATCTCTTGAGCATAGGAGTTTGAGGCTGCAGTGAGATGTGATCATGCCACTGTACTCCATCCTGGGCAACAGGGTAAGACTCATCTTTAAAAAAAAAAGAGAGAGACAGAGAGAAGGTAGAGAAATATAATTTAGAAAATGAGGTCAGGAATGAGGCTAAGATCTGGGAAAGCAACAGGACGGGGGCAGGGAATGAGGCCCTGGGCTGAAAAGGGAGGCCTAAAGCTGTGGACCTGGGGCACAGTCAATAGATGTGAGAAGCCAACAGATGGGGGCAAGTAGATGCCACTGCCTGCTCTGAGAGCCCAGTAATAAGATGGGTGTGACAGTGAGTTCCATCAAGAATGAATCACTGAGAACTGAATCTTGGCAAGGCCAGGGCTGTGTTTCCCAGTAACTTATAGGGTAAAAATAAATAATTTGTGAGAATGATAGCATAAACTACTTTTTCACATCCTACTATCTGCCTTTAAAGATAATTTTTCTGGCCAGGCCTGGTGGCTCACATCTGTAAGCCTAGCCCCCCCCAGGAGGCCAATGTTGGATGATGGCTTCAGCCCAGGAGTTGGAGGCCAGTCTGAGCACCATATTAAGACCCTGTATCTAAAAAAAATAGAAAAATTAGCCAAATGTAGTGGTACACACCGGTAGGCCCAGCTACTGGGGAGGCTGAGGCAGGAAGATTGCTTGAACCCAGGAATTTGAGGTTGCTGTCAACTGGCCTGATGCCACACCACACAAGCCTGAGCAGCAGAGTGAGACTATCTCAAAAAACAATTTTTTTTTTTGTGATAGTAACAGTAGTATTTGGTCACCCCTAATATTAAAACATACCCTAAAGCTCAAAAAAGAAAATAAAAAGTATTCATATTTCCACCACCCAAATATAATGCCTTGTTGACATTGACACATTTATTGCTGATATTTTTTCTTTGTGTATATATTTAATGTAAAATTAGAATAATTTCCAATGACATTGAGTATACTTCTAGCATTATTTAAAAATGATCATTGTATTTCAGAAGATGGATCTACCAAATTATTAACAGCCTATTCTCTATTGTAGTACATTGTTAAGTTTCCAGCTTCTGAGCCAATGAGCAATGCTATGACAAACATTGTGCATATAAATTTTTTTTTTTTTTTTTTGAGACAGAGCCTCAAGCTGTCCCCCTGGGTAGAGTGCCATGGCATTACAGCTCACAGCAACCTCCAACTCCTGGGCTCAAGCGAGTCTCCTGCCTCCGCCTCCCAAGTAGCTGGGACCACAGGCGCCCGCCACAACGCCCGGCTATTTTTTGGTTGCAGCCGTCATTGTCGTTTGGCGGGTCTGGGCTGGTGATTTGAACCCACCACCTTAGGTGTATGTGGCTGGCGCCTTAGTCGGTTGAGCTATAGGCGCCGAGCCATATAAATTTTTAACTGCATTTCTGGTTAACTTCTTGGATGAATGTGTGGAAGTATGAATACTTAGTCAAAGGATTCGTGATACGGTCCTAGGCAGCTGACTTTACCTGCTAACAGGAGAAAGCCTTACCGTGATAGACCAAAAAAGCATTGACTCAGCATTATAATAAGGGTGCCAGAAAGACCTTCCCACTGGAAAATGCTTTTCCTGTTGTTGAAGCCTGAAATGGCACTGTTCATTAGCAATCAGGTCTTTAGAGTTAAGCATTGCCCCTGGGGGCAGGCTCCTTGAAAAGGCAAACCCTCTCAAGTGGAAACCTTTTTGTCTTTATTACCTCAGGACCTGCTTTCTTTCATCAGGTTACCTTCCCCTTGCTCTCTGCCTTAGATCCTTCTATGGTGGAGGTGTGGGGGACCTCTAGGATCTTGGGGGTGAGGAGAGGTGTTAAAGATAGAGGACAGAAGACTAGGGTAATTCACAGAAGACAGATAAAGAGCCAGGGCACATAGGACTCTAAGTGAATCGCCAGATGTTAAGTAGTGCAAAAGCTTTAAAGAGAAGGTGTGCAAAAGAGTAAAGCCTCAGGCAATGCTCAGTGTATTAGTGGGATTATAGAGACATGAATATACCCAATCACGCTCCATAGCAGGATAAATTGGTGCAGTCTTCCAAAAGGTAATTTCACTATTTTTCAAAATGTTCTATGTGCTTCCTCTTTGGCTCAGCAGCTTCACTTGTAGGAATCGAACTTAAAGAACATTAAACGAGCATATAAAAATGCACGAAAAGGATGTTTATTAAAGCATTGCCGTATTAGAGTAAAAATGAAAATAACAATGGCTATCAATAAGGGGTGAGATAATGGCTCGGCGCCTGTGGCTCAAGCGGCTAAGGCGCCAGCCACATACACCTAAGGTGGCGGGTTCGAATCCAGCCCAGGCCCGCCAAACAACAACGATGGCTGCAACCAAAAAATAGCCAAACTTTGTGGTGGGTGCCTGTAGTCCCAGCTACTTGGGAGGCTGAGGCAGTAGATTTGTTTGAGCCCAGGAGTTGGAGGTTGCTGTGAGCTGCGATGCCACTGCACTCTACCCAGGGGGATAGCTTGAGGCTCTGTCTCAAAAAAAAAGGGGGGGGTGAGATAAGTAATTTGTGATTTACTAATACAGCTGACCACTAGGCCTGTGTTACATAGCGCAAAATACATATTGTGACGTAAAAAAGATTAAGCTGAAATGCGTGAGATGCAGTGTTGATCCTGTATGTGTTTATTTTTTTTAACTATATATGTTTATATGTATGTGTTTAAAAAATCTAGAAGGAACACCCTAGCCCTTCACAATGATCATTGGGGAGGAAAAAGGAATGAAGAGGTGATGAGGCTATTTTCCTTCTCAATTTATGTACATGTTATTATTATTATTATTTTGTTGCAAGTACAAGTATCACTCTCATAATTAAAAAATACCTAAAAGTTGAGAAGAAAAAAGTGAGGGGAAGTGAAAGTGTATAGAAGGCCAGCTTGCCCTCACTGACCCTGTGTGTGCCCTCGCCCCAGCTCCTGAGGGCCTCTAATCCCAGGGAAGAAGGTCAGGGCTT